CCCGGTTCTCCATCACAACCGCCCAGGTCTGCTCGAGGCTGCTGGGACACATGGCGGCATGAACGTATGTGGTACGCCATGCTCGAATGCGGCTCAGGCCTCTGCAAGCCTGGTTGGCAAGAGCATTCAACCAGTCCAGGGGCCTCTGGGACACGGTTCTCACAGTGCCTCCGGAGGTGATAGCCTCCTTACAATGGTGGACCCAGGAGGCTGTGGTGTGCAGTGGGGTTCCGTTCACTGTACCTCCCCCCTCGCTCACTCTGGTCACAGATGCCTCGGACCTGGGTTGGGGAGCGCACCTGGGGTGTCACAGGACCCAGGGGTTATGGTCCCCTGCAGAGCAGGCTCTGCACATAAATGTCCGGGAGCTCAGGGCAGTCAGGAGAGCCTGCGAGACCTTCCTGTCAAAGCTCTCTCGCCGCTCTGTCCTGGTCCGCCTGGACAACATGGCGGCTGTGTTTTACCTCAACAGGCAAGGGGGAGCCTGGTCGCCTCCCCTCTGCCACGAGGCTCTGTGCCTCTGGGACCTGTGCGTAGAGCATGACATAGTTTTGCAGGCAGAGTACCTGCCGGGGTGCAAAAACCTGCTGTCCGATGCTCTGAGCAAGTCTGTCGGAGCCCACGAATGGTCTCTCAAGGATTCGGCACTTTGTCAGATCTTCCGCAGGTGGGGTTGCCCCCTACTAGACCTCTTTTCCTCGGCACGCATCACCAAGTGCTGGAGCTACTGCTCCCTGTTGGGGCTGGGGGAACACTCCAGGGGGGATGCCATGACCGTGCCGTGGCCGGCGGGCATCTTCTACACTTTCCCTCCGTTTCCCCTAATTCGCAGGGTTCTGACCAAGGTCAAGACCTTCAGGTCGACGGTCATCCTGATAGCCCCCCGGTGGCCCAGGCAGTTTTGGTTCCCTATCCTGGTGAATATGCTCAGCGAGGAGCCTGTAACGCTCCAGCCGGTTCGGGATTTCCTGACCCAACCCTGGGACGGGGGGGACCATGGTTCACCTGAATCTCAGCTCTCTCCACCTGATGGCCTGGTTTATCCGTGGCTGACCCAACCGGAAAAGGAATGTTCCCAGGAGGTACAGATGGTGCTCCTAAGTAGTAGGAAACCGTCTACCAGGTCATCGTACGCAGCCAAGTGGCGGCACTTCTCGTCTTGGGCGTCCAGAAGGGGAGTGCACCCGTCCCATGCTCCTGTCCCGTCAATTCTGGACTACCTCTTTGAACTTAGGTCCAGTGGCCTCTCTACCACCTCTATCAAAGTCCATGTGGCATCTCTTTCCTCCTTCCATGTTGGCTCGGCAGGAGTTTCTCTGTTTTCTGACCCTGTGGCCAAAAGGTTCCTTAAGGGTTTGGATAAGTTGTATCCCTCGGTTAGACCCCCTCTTCCCACTTGGGACCTTAACCTCATTTTGCCTATACTTGTGTCACCCCCCTTTGAGCCGCTGGCCACGTGTTCTTTGAAGCACCTCTCTATGAAGGTTGCATGAAGTGACCATTACGTCGGCTCGCAGGGTCTCCGAGCTGAGGGCGTTAACTGTAAACCCGCCCTACCTAGTGTTTACTGACAATAATGTGAGGCTCTGCCCTTATCCAGCTTTTCTCCCTAAGGTGGTGTCACCGTTTCATTTGTCCCAAGAAATTTACATCCCGGTTTTCTTTCCAAAGCCCCACGCCTCCCCTAAGGAGCAAGTGCTCCATACCCTGGATGCTAGACGTGCACTAGCTTTTTATATTGATAGAACTAAACCCTTTTGCAAATCCACACAATTGTTTATTGCTGTCTCTGACAGAATGAAAGGGCTCCTCAGATCAACCCAGAGGCTGTCCAATTGGTGTATCAGGGAGTGTTATGCCTTGGCCGGGAAGGTCCCGCCCCGGGTTACAGCACATTCCACCAGGGCGCAGGCGTCCTCTGTAGCTTTTGGGGCGCAGGTTCCAATCACTGAAATCTGCAGGGCAGCCACATGGTCGTCGCTCCATACCTTTACAGTGCACTACACGCTGGCACAGCAGGCTAGGGAGGATGCAGGGTTGGGCTCTGCGGTCCTCAGCTCTGTTTTGTAAATATGTTTGTTTTATCTGTGTCACATTGCACTTTCTACAGTTTTCTGTGTTCGCTTAGTTGAATAAATTCGTTTGGATTGTTCAACTTTTGTGGACTTCTCTTTCTGAGTGCTCCGACCCCTCCTCCTTGAAGTGAGGTTGGCTTGGAAGTCACCTAATTCGAATGGACATGAGCAACCACTCGAAGAAGAAAAAAACGGTTACTTACCTGTAACTATTGTTCTTCGAGATATGTTGCTCATGTCCATTCGATTCCCCCACTACCTCCCCTTCGTTGGAGTGTTTGGCAAGAAGGAACTAAGGTGGGGAAGTGCCGGCAGGGGTACTTATGCCCCGCCATGGCGGTGCCACTCCACGGGGCGCCCTGCCGGCGTTACGGGTACCACGCGGTGCACACACCTAATTCGAATGGACATGAGCAACACATCTCGAAGAACAACAGTTACAGGTAAGTAACCCTTCTTTTCCCATGACTAAGGTAAATCTATGGTTATAAAATCACTGATGTAACTTCCGAAGCACATTGTTCTCATTGAAGGTAGATGCCTTTCTCCTGAGAAGAGTCGAGTTATTTAATGGAGAAATATCTCCACTAAATAAATGTAGCTCTTATCAAGACTTCAAAGTTTTGAAAATTCATTCGGACTTCATCTTTGTCCATAAATTAACACTTTTAGGTTGACATAAAACAGATTCAAAATATTGGTTTTGTGTATTTGGAAAATTGGATTTATTTATTTTGCCTGGACTTTGCTGAGGGTGAGTTTGAAAGTTTGTAATTAATGGGTCAGGGACAGCATTCCCTGTAAACTGTGCACTTGGCTACTAGGGAGAGATTCAAATGCCATCCAGCCGATTAGCAGAGTGCCCACATCTAGGTTTTATGTTTCTAATTGTGGTGCACATTTGCACATGCATCAGTGCACATACAATTATTCTGCACAAAGATGGAAAAAATCCACACATGGATGGAAAAAATTAGAGAGGACTCTGGTGCACCTTTGCACAGGCCTTGGCATGCACAAAATTATTCCACACGTGGATGGAAAAATTCTGCAAATGAATGAAAAAGATTAGAGCTGTGGTGTCCAACCAGTTCCGAAGCAGTATAGTGAGCTAGTCACACTCAACCAGCCAAATAGCCACACTGTTCAAGCCAAATAGCCACACACAACTGGCCACATGTGGCTAGTGGCTAGCATGCTGGACACTACAGAATTAGAAGAAACATTGGTCAGGGATTGTATTTTTTTATACTTTGTGCTAAGGGGCTCTTAGTCTAAGACTAGGCCTCCTAAATCCTACTACAATATAAATGAGAACAATCCTGAGAGGGAATCCAAATCAGAAAAATCAATCAACTCCTGAACTATGTCCCATAGGTCCCTGAGGTTCTGCACAGTGACTGTAAAATATTTGACCATAAACAGAGTCCATAGTCACATTCAGGAAGGAAGGCTTGTGATAATCTATTGGGGTTGAATTAGATCGAGGGTGGGTAATTTCCAGCCTGCGAGCCGGACCCCATCTTTATATTTACCTGTGCCTCCACAGGTATTGGGTGATCACAGCTCTCATAGGCTGTAGAGCGCAGTTTTATGGCCAATGGGAACATCTGCAAGCAGTGTCCTGGTCTGTACCGCTTTCCGCTAATCCCACTGGCTGCAAACAGTGATCCACAGGCAAGGAGAGGTGTGACTGCCCAATACCTGCAGAGGTGCAGTTAAATATAGGAGCAGTGGCCCCCAAAGAGCTAACCCTTTAAGGTGCTACTAGTCTGTTTGTTGTTTTTTAAGTTTTTCCTGTTACAGACTAACTCGGCTACCCCTCTGAAGCTATAGAGATCTGGAATGCCCTACACAGGAATTCCTGGTACTAATTTAACAGTGTTAAATTGAATAGAAGATTAAAACAAAAAAGCCACTTTAGATGAGCTATTGGCATTTTTACCAGATCTTTCCAACTATGGTGGAAGTAGCTTTCTCGGAAAACAAGTTTCATTTGTGGACAAGTAGCGAGTGCGAGCAGTTCTCACACTGGGTTAGAGCCCCAAAGTGGGTCACCATGGCTGAGCTTAGATTTGCCGGGGCCCAGGGCTGAAAATCAAGCCCCACCCTCTGGGGTCAAAGCCCAAGCCCAGGGGCTTCCATCCTGAGCACTGGGGCTCAAGTGACAGCATCCTGGCTGCCAGAGCTGAACTCCTGGGATTTGGGCCACCTGCCCAGGCCAAAGGAGCTCGGGCTTTTGCTTCACCCTGCCATACACTCCATACCTGAGGTGGCAGAGTGAGGCTCCTCCCTCCTGGGGTCCTGTTGTAATGTTTGTTGTCAGAAGAGGGTCATGGTGCAATGAAGTCTAAGAAGCCCTGCACTGACGTTTTTGAAAATTTGGTCCTTGCGGATTTGCCCAGGTCACAGCACACAACTGATTCCTTTCCTTCCACTCTCTGTCTTGTGCTTTAAAGACTAAACCACCACTACAGTGTTGAATGCTTCTGTGAGTCGTCCTCCAGCACACACACACCCCTCCCGCACAGCCAGCTCAACTAGTTGCACTGGTAGGGAATCATCCAAAGTCAGAATCTAAACACAGGGAACCCACCTGGTCCCAAATCCCTGAACAAATACTAAGTCAGTCTCTGTCACAAAGAGCACACCAGAGGAAGTGCTGTGAGAGCTCAGAAGCTTGTCTTTTTCACCAACAGAAGTCGGTCCAAGAAAAGACATTATCTCACCCACCTTGTCTCTCTAATAAAGAGCACAAATAGTCAAGCAAAAGAGGCAGACTGAGATAAAGTGATTTCTCTAAGGTCAGACAGCAGATTAGAGGCAGTAACAAACAGAAACCAAGACCGCCAAGGCAGCGCTGTACGCCCAAGTGCACACTGCCTCTCAATCACCTTACCTTTGGTTTGCTGTGCCGACACTTACCCAGAAATGAGCATGGCAGTTAGTCTTCATGGTCCTTTCCAGGAGTTCATCTGAGCACTGCAGGATGGGTTTCCCGGCAACAACCCCAGCATTATTGATCAGGAAGGTGACATCTCCTACTTCCTGCCGTACTCTCTGTGCTGTGTTGTAGACATCCTCTCGCTGGCTCACATCACAGGTATAAGCATAAGCCCTGGCTCCCAGCTCCCTCACCTGCACAGCCGTCTTTTCATTCCCATCTGCATCTATATCCCACAGGACAAGCGTCGCGCCTCTCTGAGCAAATTCTAAAGCAAAAAGTCGACCGAGTCCTTTTGCGCTGGCTGTACCTGTTATCAAACATATTTCATTGGTGACCCTTTTCTCTGTGGGCCTCTTTATCCACCGCACAAGGGACTGGATTATGTAGCCCACAACATTAGCTGTGAGCAGCAGAAAATCTACAAGCACACCCATTGTTTTTTTGCTTTCAAATGGGAGCAGCCTGTGGAACGTCAGTATACTGAAGGCCTCAGACCGCACAGTCCAGATAAGGTACATAGGGACATGGCAGATTAAGAGATTATACTGGCCTGCCACCATTACCAATAAATGGGAGGGATTTGTATTACAACAGAGACATTAGGAGCCAGATCCAGAAAGGTACAGTGCCCTCAATTCTCATTAACTTCACCAGAAATGGAGAGAACTCAGCAGTTTGCAGCAGGATCAGGCCTTAGATTTGCAGCTCAGGGATTTGCTGAAGGTGTAAGAGTTGGGGAGCATTTCCTTTATGAACCACAGCTCAAGTATGACCTCTGAGTGCTGCTGTTGATGTCCCCAAATCACTGATGTGCATGTGCTAAATATCAGAGTCCTGCCTGTTTTTATGCAACAGTTGCTATTAATGCAACAGCCTGAAGTGAAACAGACATGATGCTTTCCAGGGCACTTTACAATTTCTCTTTGCTGTCTTTGCCCTGATCCTGGTCTCAGGCCCAGCTGGGCAGCAATCCAGCCCTGCCCTGGTGTTGGCTGCTATAGAGAAGGAACACCCCAAAGCCTTACCCACACCCATCTTTTGCTCCTACAAACCCTAGGCAGGCGCCCTGGGTTAGCACAGCCTTTCTGTGTCTATCTCCAGACAGGCCAGAGGGGTGGCAGACCGATTAGCTAGCGACCTGAGCACCGAGCCCTAGTGGTGCCAGCATAGCCTGACACAGAGGACTGCTCTGGGACTACATTTCCCAGGTACGTGTGTACGGAGCATGCGCAGTGAGGCACAGCCCGCTATATAAGGACGTGCTGCCCGCAGCACGTTCTCTTTCCTTCTCTGAGGTAGGTATGGGTGAGTAGCGTTTGCAAGGTCGGAGTGGGGGACGCATGCAATCCATTGCAATCCGCGGCCATCCGTGCCGGTACCTGTCCCCTGCCCAGCTCCGGCAGTCCCTCGCAGCCCCTCCTGCTGCACTCGGCCTGTATTGACAGGGTGTTTCCTCCGGGAGGGCAGCTTAGCCGCGATCCTTGAACGGGAGCGCCCCGCTGCCTGGGGGAGTCCTTTGCTTGTGGCAGCCACGGCTCCAAACTGCCCTACCGGCCCCGGCAGATTGTCACTGCCCCTGCAAGAGGGCCGGGGAGTGCGTAGCCGCTGACTGGGTTGGCCGGTCCCTGGTCCCCCAAACACGGGGTTCGCCCGCAGCCCAGCCGGGGTCTCACTGGTGCACGTGATGACTAAACCTTTTTTCCCCATCAGAGCGACAGTGTTGATTTTGCTGTTCTAAGCCAGATCGTGTCTGACGCACCAGTCCTGGAAGCCACCTTCGCGCTTTGCTCCCGCCGCGTTCAGCGGGACTAAATCTTTTGTCTCTTCTGCGTCTCAGGTCCAGCAAGCGGCCGCGATCAGCATGGTTTGGGGAGCTGGCTTGGAGGCCGGGCGCTGGCCCGGGGTAGAGCCAGCCACAAGGGCCCGCTGCTCGGGTTGTGGAGCCCGCTGTTTGCCCTTTGCATCCTGTGACACTCTTGGTGGAGGGACTAGTAAGTGTGTAAATTAATACCCTTTGCTACCGAGGATGTGGGGTGGCTGTATCTTCGACTCTTGAGTTTGCTACCGGGGAGGTCCAAGCAGGCATTGTAATAGGCAGAACAAAATGTAACATTGTTACTAAAAGAAGAAAAGCTTGCCCCAAAGCGTTTACATTCTTAAGTAGTTTAGTATTCTGTATGGCCTCCATGCTGAATTTTCACAGCCCAGCAACAGAAGTAGGCAACTTTCTCTGCATCCTTTTTTGCCATGTTCTGTCCAGTTTCCTAGTCGGTGCTACTTAGACCCACAAGTGCTCTTTCCCCAATCTGTGCCTCTATCCATCCCCATTACACTGTTGCTCAGCATGTTTTTCCCTTCCCCACATGTGACCAAAGAACTTGCATAGCACCTGCCACAGTTAGATGCAGGGTTCTTACATCTTTCAACTGGAGAATTGCAACTCGTACTCTTATGACTGACTTTTTTTGCAGAACACTTGTATAGTTGCATGCCAACCTAATGTGCAAATAAGAAATTAGGTACATAGATCTACCTTGTTGGAAATGTGTGTGCCCGTTAGGGTGTCTTTGTGTGCAGGCCTGGCACTTCCCTCCAGCTTGTGCTAGAGCTGTGATCTCGCTGGTGTACATGATGACTATGCTTTTTTCCCCATCGGAGCGACCATGCTGACTTTTCACTGCTTTAGCCAGATTCTGTCTGATACACCAGCAGGGAAGGGCCTGTTCCCTCCTCCGCTGGCTGACTCATGCTCGTAGTTATTCCGACCCCATAGCTTTGTCTCTCTTTTTAGGTCCATGGCAGCAAGGTGGAGCAACGTGAGTCTGGGAGACCTGGTCAAGGAATCAAGGTGACATAACCCAAAGCAAACTTGGAATAGGCCATTGCCCTGCTTTACAAGCCACTTGTGAGCCAGATTACCAAGAGAGTGGTAAGCTTCTGAATAAATACCTTTGTATCTTGTCAGTAATTTCTCTGTACACGAGAGGGGGCTCTATAGGATGGGGGATGGTACTGAAGGTGGGAGACTGGCATGGTGGGGTGTGTGCCAGAACTGGGGTTAGTGGCTGGTTCTGGGGGGATAGTGAAAGGGTGGGGAGCTCTAAGGGTTAGGGCTGGCACTGGGAGGTTCTAGAGGCTGGGGCTTTTGGTGAACCTGACATTTTATTTGAGTATTTGTTATTTGTATAATAAATATGCAAATAAAATATTGCTGGTCTGTTGAAAGCTTGTGAATAGGTTTGCTGGTCCCCAGTATTTAAAAAAAAAAAATTGGGAGCCACTACTATAGTACACAAGATAGAAGTTTGTGCACCGTGATACCTCTGTATGAATGAATGCAGCCGTTGCTTTTATATATATTCTGGCTAAGTACTATGTCCCTTCATTCACAGTGGCTGGGCCCTACGGACTATCTACTATTGCTCGGGTTGCTGGGTTGTAATGGGGATGTAGTTGACTGGGGTCTTTAAGCCTTGCAAATGGTCTGTGAATGAGGAACATTGGAAGTCTGAGTGATTGCAGACTTCGCATGTGATGCAGGCCAGTCAAGAGTGGAAAGCAAAATAGCTTGTCCTGGAATGGAATGGAATGAATAAATGAGTTGGGGAGCAGTGGTGTATTGTAGGAACAGCTCTATGGTGGTGCTCTCCAACCAAGTCTAAATAAGTGAATGGTGAAGCCAACATGATTTCCCAGGTTTAGGTAGAGTAACACTTATGGCCTACTTATCAGCATTGCTTAATAGTTTATGTAACCAGACTTGATTAAATGGACCTGGCATAGCACCACACCACTGTCAGGGCCATCATGGCTGTGCAGATAGTATATCTGTATCTAGCATGATGGTAAAATGTGCATTGAGATTGCTATGTGGTCATAAATGCATACTACCTAGTGTATACATCAAGTCCTAATAGGTTTTGTGTAAATAATTACTTGATAATTCAGACTGAATTTATTGATGGCATAAAGCACTTAAGTTCTCTTCTGTACTGCTGTTAAAATTGTTGGATACTTGTTAGCAATTCAGTTCCCTAGTGGCACTCAATGTGGAATAAAAAAGTAAATTTTTGTCATTCAAATATACCTACCTGCTGCTATTCTAGATGAGAGACTAAAATGTAGATGGAATATTTTAAATGCCAGCAGCCCTTGAAAGTCATTAATTCCCCTGTACAATCTCTTGCAGGGAATTTTACGTCGGTAGACATGAAGATCTTGTAAAAAGGTAAACTGGCTGGGGGATGGGAGGGCGAGGTTTAAGTATTGGACAACCTGAAAGGCATGTTCTGTGGAATGTGATGACTTGAAACTTTTTTCCCCATCAGATCGGCAATGCTGACCAAAACTTGCATTTAGCCAGGCTGTCTGATTCCACAGTGCAGAGATGCTTTTCCTGTGCATGTTGCTCCGTAAGCAATTAGAGCTCCATGCCCAAGGCTCGCGTGCCCAAAATGATTGCACAGAAGCAGGCTACTTTGCAGGCAGACAGCGATTGAGGGTGTTATGTGTAGTCACCATCTACTAATGTTTTTTATACAGTCACCATCTACTAATGTTTGTTATACATGTTGTAGATCAATATAGGAAACCCTTGCAACTGGCAAAATTGCTATTCATGGTTCTGTGTATCTGCAGGGGTTTCCTGACCTGAGGGTGGGAAGGGGCATAGGGTATGTCTACACTACCCCGCTAGTTCGAACTAGTGGGGTAATGTAGGCATACCGCACCTGCAAATGAAGCCTGGGATTTGAATTTCATGAGGAGTAACGGTAGTTCGAACTAGGAAGCCTAGTTCAAACTACCTAGTTCGTGCCCCGTGTAGCCGCGCTGCACGGGGTTCGAACCAGCGGGGTTTTAAAAATGGCGGCTCCCCGCTTAGGCAAATGAAGCCCGGGAAATTCAAATCCCGGGCTTCATTTGCAAGTGCGGTATGCCTACATTACCCTCCTAGCTCGAACTAGGAGGGTAGTGTAGACATACCCATAGTTAGTTCTCGGCTCCTGGCAGCTGTGGTGAGATCATCACAGCTCCTGTACCCGGGGTAGATTCCGGAGCTGTGAAGAGCTCATTGCGGGAGCAGGGAGCCATTTGCAAATTTCACCGTTTGCAGTGGTGCCAGGAACCACGTTCACCATGAATGGTGAGGGTTTCTTATATTGAACACAATCCATGTTTTCATGGGACCTGCAGGCACTGTTATGCTAGTCTCCAACAAAATTAGATGTTTGCGGGTGGGTCATCAGCAGATGTTAATGCTTCTGGACCCATCCAGGCTGAAAGACTGCAGGCAGGCCAGGTTTTGAAAAGGTATTAGACGCTTAAAGATGCAGATTGGTGTCTACATTAGAGCACTAGTTGGTATCAAAGTACCTACCAGTTAATTCCCATTTGAATTGAAATAAATTGAGACATTTTGGTGCTCTTGAAAACTTCATCTTCAGTTTAGGCACCTTAGTGTTCATGTGACTGGACTGGTAGGTGGAAAGCTGAATTAAGAGGGGGAATGATACTGTTCAGGCAAAATTGCTTTGAAACTGTTCTTAACATCAAATGTAACTTCAGCAAGAAGTGCTTTGGTTGAAGATGATTATGTGCACTGTAACTCTTCCCTTCAGCAAACCCAGGAAACGGCAGTCTTGACATGCCTTTTCATGCTTTTTTTAACCTTGGAAACAGTATCTTAAAACAGGAGGAACTGAAGTTTCTGTTAGAAGCAAATAGTTGCATGTCTTAATATTTCCAAATCCTCCTAGTTTAAACATGTCTGCTTTTTTCAGTTTATGATGTGGGTGGCTTGCTATACTAAGTTTGCATTTACTTCTATAGTTGCATTCAGTTTTAAGTGAGAATGAGGGAAAATTTACTCTTAATACTGAAGTGTGTAGGGCTAGCTGTCTGTAAAATAGGCAGAGTTCGTATGATTAAATCTTGACTTTCTCTTGACAGGTTGAGTTATCAGTGTCAGCATGAAGCAGAAGTTGCCCTGTGAAGTAGCAAAAAGCTGTTAATTGCATACACTTGCCAAAGTGACAGCAAGATATTCCAAGACAAGGGTGCAGTAGCCACATTGCAATGGCACTACTTGGTCAAGCGTGGTGTGAAAAATACCTGCCTCCTTAAGAGATACCTGGGAGTTCTTGTAGTTTAGTCTCCAAGCTCACAAGCAGTTTCATTGGAAGGGATGACTATCTCTAGTTCTTGACTACTTTTTGTTTGTGTCCATAGTGGCAGTATTCACCCCATGTTGCTGAGTTCCACCCAGTGCTGTAATGTGGAAGGTTCTAAGATGGAAATTCATTAAATGCTGAAGTTAAATGGATTGATGTGTGTGCTTCTATCTGTGTGAATGGGACGGTCATGTGGTTAAGCAGACGGGGGTCTCAACATTAGGGTTCCAATTGGGTAAATACTGCTGTGAGAGCCAGAACTGCTGCAAAAATCTGTTCTTAACAAATCTCTAATGTAGCCATTGAGTGAAATTTGGATGATCTGACCAATGTAGCTAAAACTTCCAAGCCTCGGAACAGATAGGGCTTAGTAAGGGTAGGATACTGCAGAGCACTTGTTGCTCCCCATTCAGCAGTCTCGGGAAAGAATTCTGCCATTCTCTTTTCTAGCTGAATCTGTATACCTACCACTTGACTCAGTTGGGAAGCTGGCTGAAGACCTGCTAAGCACTCTTCTGCTTTTGCTCATTTCTTTTGACTTACAAGTAAAACTAGGCCCATCCAAAGCTATTAAGTTGCCACTATAAATTACAAAATTTAGGATCTCAGCATACAACTCCATGTCTCAATCTTGCTCCCCCCTCAGGAGCTGAGTTCCATAGATACATCCAGGTGTCTTTAGAGGTGAGAAACTTGTATTGAAACCTAGGACGCTTCACACAGAGGTATGCGGGTCATACAGTTCCCTTGTAAATGGAATCTAGCTCTCTTGCCCCTGCTGATCCTATCCCTCTACGACAGGAGGAAGATGTCTACAAGCCAGAACTGGCAAATGTAGGAACACTTTCTTTAGTGAAATGGATGCACTTAATGGGAGGGCAACTTTCCCATACCTCTCTAAGAATGCGTGTTCCATTGATTATATTAAGTAATAATAAAAATATGGCGGTTTTCTTAACTGCTGCCAGCCCGTTCTAGTGTTTTGTCATGGGATACAAAAATCTTTTTAACTTCAGTATCCTTTGTGCTGAAACAGTAGCGGGTGAGGCTCCTATGTTCCCTTGGGAAGGTGACAACTTTTCTCCATTTAGCATGGTTGCCATGCATGTGTGTGGGAAGTTAGGTGCAGGGGATGCTGTAGCACCCCCAGATTTATGCCTGGGGGCCCTGTTGCAGCTCAGGGTCCTGTCTGCTAGCTACAAGAGACCCCAGATGCTGGCTCCACAGGTTCTGGCTGCCAGCTCCATGGGTCATGAACCCTTGCCTCAAGGGCTCTGCAGCAGCAGTGAGGGGTGGACAGGGGAAGGCAAGGGGAAAGGGGCACAGCTCAGCAGGCCCACCCTAAATAGCAACAATGGCACTAGCTAGAGCTATGTGGTGCACAGCAATCCTTGCTGAGAGATGGTTAGCTGGAAGCTTTAAGGTCAGCTCTGGCACATGTTTGCTGCTGGTTGAACAGGTGCCTCCCCCAGGATCTGGCTCTGAAT